GGGGTTGGAATTACTACCATTGCGCTTGGAACGTTTTCTTCACTTTGATGCCTGTTGGTTGGAAATAATCTATCATCGTTTGAGGGGTGAGAGGATCAGGACCTTAGGCTCCGTACTCCTAGCTAGCGGCTTCATCTGGTGCAGCGCAAATGGAATGTAGATTTTGTTTTCAAGATCCATGATCATATATTCTGGGTTGTTTCAAATTTCAATCTTGTAGAGACAGCAGTCATGATCCACAGTCTAGTTCTCATCACTTTATATGTATGATGTCACGATTCTCTTCTCTGGGTTTCGCCAAATTTTTCTAAATGCAAAATCTGTTGAATAAGAACAGAAGTTGTCCTAGATACAGGGTAATGCCAATAGGTTTAGGTTGACAGTACGCAACGGAATTGCAAATGACAGATTGCTAAAATGGATGACCATTGATACTGGAAGATTTGGACATTTTCAGTCTCATATCAATGATCTGTCAGCTTCCCAACATTCACCGTATTCCGCCAGGTTACTCTCATGATGAGCAAAGATCCCGGCTGTCTAGCATGCTAGGCTAATTATTATTTCAAAATGACTCAAATCACCGACATGGCATCCGACAGAAATGAATACTTCTTTGGTGCAGACTGGTACTTTTCAACATATCATATAGCATAGATCGCGCTACGTATGCCCTTCCATACGATATTCATGGCAACAAGGATAATATCACATGCACAGGCTCTTGATAAAACGACACTCTACTGCATGCGTGATTTTCCCAATATTTTTCAGCTGGGGTGGGTGCGCTTACGGTGCATCTGGTGCTGACTTGCTATTGTTGGTGACTCGTGTGATACGAAAGCCTTGGGGAACTTGCGGTCAGGAAACCAAGTCAATGAGTGTGCCATAACATTGAGTAGAATCACAGCAGCTGAACTTTTTTTTCTCACCATCGAACATGAATTTAAGGCAACATGTCCTCGTGTCAATAATTGGTACGTCGGCCGTAGGAGGCAAAACATTGACCCGAGCCTCGTTTGGCTGGTAGTGCATGCAGCTCCAAATGTATTGTTGCCCAATAGTGTGGTATACATCTATATTTATCCCCTTTGGGTCACAAGATTGCCTATGGACTGAGCCAAATGGACATACCGGAGCTCATACGTGTCTCCTATCGTTGTCAATATCGGGGAATTTCGGATAAATACAGTCAGTGAAGTATGAAAAGCGCGCCGCAAGATACGAGCAAAGACGTATAACTGAATCCTTGCAGAAATATCGTATGGTCAATGATATCTGCCCTCGCGTTGAGCCTCATGAGGATAGACGTGGCTCCTTCACCCATGGCTGGATCTTCAAGATTGCTTAGACATGATACCTTGCTGTTGTATCTTGACAGATTACTGATTGACCATGTTGGGCAGTGAGTACTCAATAACTTAGGAGTTCAAATCATGCTCCTCGAATGCTTGGGGATTTTTTTAATTAGACAGGAATAACCATGTAAAGTCAAGCCCATGGTTTGTAACGGACTTGGGATATCAATTGGGATCTCGAGTATGACCATCCTCCTTGAAAGGTATAAGAAATTACCTGCACGGTCAAACCACCCAAGCAAGTATACAAGGCCGCCATTTATTGTGCATATCTGTCTTCTTTCTGCCATCATATTCTGAGATCATTCTCACGGCCGAGTAACTTCTTCGTCTCTCAAATCGAATTGTAGATCGTCAGAGTCAGTGTGACATGGCAGAAAAAAAAGACGGTGTTGGTGGAGTCACGTTTCAGACTGGAACCCCCCGAGGGGAAAAGTCGGTCTCAACAAGATTGAGAAGAAAAGAGCAGGATTGTTTTTATATTGCAGCAGTGGGCAAGCAGAACAAAGCGGTTTATGCATGAAATTGCAAGCCATTTCGCATATATCTGAGCTGCAACGGGATTGATCATGCGGCTGTCCCGTTTTGTCGTTGCTACTGCTGCAGGTGTGTTGTGGTCTGCTGACTTGACCATGTGAGTCAAATCCATCCCACTGTTGCATGCTCTGCAGGCAGTCCAATCCTTTATGATCGACTTTCCCCTTTTACATGGCCTTTTGCCAATGGGCATTGTTTCGCTGTCCGAAGGGCATTAAAAGAAAACAACAGTGTCCAGCAACGGAAAGAGACCGAGCCGGGAACAGCAATCCAAAACTACGTTTACCTACATGCCGTCATGGAGGGCCTGCCGCCGATCGCTTCATGTTCATGGATGTCGAGCCCGGGATTGACGCGGGTTCAGAAAATGCCATGCTCTGAACGACAACTTTTCGGTAGATTTCAAGCATCACTCGAATCCGCAGGAATACCTACACATACACACACATATGGGCAACATGTCCTTCCTCTTGGTAGCATAACCGAGGCCTACCCACCATAGTCACACAAGCCAAATCTCTCTAGGATGTCGGTAGTTCTAATGGCCAGTGCTCCTCTCGCTACACAGTTACGATACTACCACAGATGGCTATTCAGCGCACCTTGTCCCTCACCACCCCAGGTTGTTGAGCCGCACAACCCGTTTTGCGGGCTTCTCTACTTGCCGTCCATTGACTAGAGCTACGCTCGGTTAGATGGAGCGGGAGACGTTGCAAGTTGGGATGAAAGGATCGTGGATAGGCCAGGGCTTTCTTAGAGCCAGGAGCACACACTCTCTAAAAGTCAAGCTCGCCGCCGCAGAGTGGATATCTTTTTCTCTCTCTCTGTTTTGGTTGATGCTTTTTCACACTTTCTCGGTCGCTTACCGAAGAGGGTCGTAGCGGTGAATATCCTTCCGTTCAAGTGTAGCAGTCCGACGCACGCTCACAGAAGTCCTAGGTTGTTAGTGCTAGGGGGCAGGAGGGGGGCGGAAGACGGGGTGGCGGCGCAAAAAAGAATCAGGACACACAGACATATTCACAGTAGACGCAGAGGAAAACAGAAGAGAATTGAGTAGCAGTCTGAAAAACTATGGAATACTACTGGTTGACTGGACTGCTTGGCTGGCAGGGGGAGAAAGAGGCAAGGGGGGGCGTCTATCCAACCAGGGAACGGGCAAATTGTGGGTCGTGGCTGTTTCAGATTTTTGCACCAAGTCGCAAGTCTGCGGCCTAAAATAGCAGGAGCCGACTAGGGGCCCCGGAGAACTGTGCGCTTATGCTGTTTTCGCTTTCGTTTCCTCCATCCAAGTCGCCGGACGCAGACAGAAGGGAAAAAACGACTACCTTAGCCCCACTGTGTGCACCAGCACAAATGGGACAATTCAGTGCCGAGTCCAGCAGACAGACTAGTCAGCGTACTATGTAAAATACACACAGTACATGGTTGTTAGTAGCTGCTTGGCCCAGAGACTCAAAACTTTGCACCCTAAATATTATTATTACTGTTATTTTAATGACCGGGAGACATGAACAAAGTTTATGAATGCTATGTTAGAGTTTGATATGGTCACAAAAACTTGTCGGGGGTTTGCGAGATTGCACAGTCCTCGAAGCGTCCACGGCGGCAGCAGAATGATTGCATGCATGTGTGTGTATTCTCTCCATGTTGATGGCACAGTAGAACGACAGCAACAATCCACGTATTATCGGCCAAGCAATGCATGGAATATGTAACCTACCTACCAAGCCCACCTATTCATTTCATTTTGAATTGGGTTCCATACCCTCCGTTTGTATTACTCTATACACCACGTACTATGAGTACGTACGAAAAGGTAATTATCCTCACATGGAGCCAGTTCAGTCTTACCAGTGTCCCGAACGGTAACCTCCGTGCATTGGAAATCTCTTGGCATTTATTACACCGAAACTCTCAAACATTCCGAATCATCAGGTCAGCAAGACTAGAGACGGGAAGGAGGGGGGGGGGGAAAACGGGTTGTTTGTTGACAGCCTCGTGCAATGTTGGACGTTGGTGCAATCCCTGGATTATCTTCAGATGCGGCTCTCCTCATCTAAAAACATGAGACAGGGAGTTCAAGGTAAAACTGGCTTGACTTTTTTTGTTGTGACAAATGTCAGAATGTGACGTTGACGGCTGAGAAAACCACACAAGACTTTCTTTGGTACGGACGAAGGTCATATCCATGCCTGGACCGGAATCTGGAGATCTGGGGTTTCGTTGTTGATGGAGCTCGCTCCGCCCGTTGCCCCGTCCGTATGTCCGTCCGTCCAGTCTCCTCGTCGTTGTTGTCGTTTTCGTTGTCCAGCAACGAAACAAAAATACAGAACCACTGTCAACTATGTCCTGGGTTCGCGCTTGTTGTGACCGTCAGACTGGGCTGAGCGGTGCAGACGTCAGTTCATTGCGTGGCCCGAGCCTGAGTCGTAGGTGGACCGAATTGCGCATACTATGACTTATTTTCGGCGTCCAAGCATCAAAATCCCATCTAATTTGTCTTTTTTTGGGTTCATTATGCTGAGGATTCATGGAACGAAATGGAATATTCTCGTGGTTCCCCATCAATAGTTGAATCCTTTGGGATCTAGATCTGGATCCTGATAGATCTCGACAGCTGCTTTCATCTCCTGGGTAAGATGCATGTGATGTATGTAATATAAGCCAGTATCCAAGAGCGACTTGCTCAATGTGGCTGGTCCGATGTTTTTTTTTTTTTTCGAAACGCCCGAAAAACATCCAACCGCAATGACAAGCAGAGCGCTGGCGAAATCTGTGTTGGCGATTTGAGTTCCTGAGTTTCTCCGAATATTCTATACAGGCTATCATGCTTTTTGTCCGTCGTTAGAGAGAGACCAAACAGAGCCCGAGAGGCGCGCCCCCCGTTGGATTGATTCAGCCATGGGCCACGCGACGAATGAGGCGCCCTGGGAACTAATTGCACACAGACCATCAGCAGGACAGTGACAACCAAGAAGAGCCTGGGGAGACCCAGCAGACTCATGTTTTTCTGTGACGCAACGAGGACGACCAACACGTGTAGCATACGGAAGAGGAAATATGCTACATTCTTGGCTGTAATATGTGAACAAGCATTGCATGGACCAAGAGAGAAAAACGACGACATTATCTCTGTGAGTGTATAATCATAAGATGGAATGTATAGTTAGTTTTTTTAATGGTGGCATATTGGTCACAAGCAGACAAGTACGTGTGTAGTCGTAACAAGGTAATTTCGGACCACAATTAATGTACAGACTAGACCGACCAGCTGGTGCAATGTAGGTTAGCAACTTTGCAGGCCTGGAAGGTACCTGAGAGTAATAAGGTAGGTAGGTAGGTAGGCAATGGTCTTCTTGCCAGGCATTTGTCTTATTTTCTGGAGACCCAGTCGACAGTGGACGATGATGATCTATCTGGGTTATACTTCACCCAGCGGAATGGGTGCACAGTATAAGGATCTGCTCCATTGATTTACACGAACCGTACTTTTTCTTCGGGGGCCGTATGACGCTGCATATAGGCAAGTCGCAATTTCGCTGATCTGCTAGATTTTGTCTACTTCCGAACTCCGCCACCTGAAGGCGGTTCGGTCATCAAGCGGCCTAGTGCCCGCATTCTCGTTTCTGCCAGCTGAAAGCTCATTTTTATTTTTTAATTTAGTCGCAATGACTCGAGACACTGGGAGAAGAAAGGGAACAAAGAATGAAAAGGGCAAGAAGAAGAAAAAAAAAGCAAAGATGCTTTGTTTCGAAGCCTTCTCGTTTGTCGTAGTTGACACGACAGTTCGAGACCCCTAGAATTTTCATTAAATTAAAAGAGAGATCCGAGGCAGATCCCCAAGAGCCGACGCGGCGAGCGCCCCAAGCAACCAAGCCAAAGGCCCCAAGGCTCGCCAAGGCTCGAGGGTTGCCCACCCCAGTTATCCAATCTGCAGGCCCAGGGCTCGCTCCAACCATGGGCGTTGATGAGGGCCCTACTGAAGTGGAGACCCCTCATGAGTGGGATGGCTGATTGGTGACTCGAAATTATCAGCTGCAGAAGCCAGGCCGAGGCGAGAGCCCGTGATTGGCCGACTTCGCGCTGGCGGACATCTATTCTTAGAAAAACAACCAAGTCTTCCCAGAATCCACGTTCGCTCCGTTTCGCAAACACCAACCCGCAAGGGGAGGGGGGAGGGGGGCGTGTCGCCAGTCACAAAGGACTTTATGGAGAGACAGTGAGTGAGTGAGAGAGAGAGGCTCGTCCGCAGCAGCACCAGCACCAGCGAACAGGCTTCGGGGAGAGCGCTGAACTGGGGGGGGGAAACAAGTAGAGGAAAATAGCCAAAAAGAGTGAGTGGGCGCTTGCCGCTTGTTCTATTGCATTCATTTCGACGAATCTCGTTCGCCTCTTTGGCGTCTGGAAAGAGGCGGGCGCATATGTTCTATCCACACAGCTTTTCTGCCAGCTCTGCATACTCCTCTTTTCCAGGCCGCTTCGGCGCATCAATAATTGTAGTCTAGAGAGGAATGTATGGGAACCAGTCACTCGTCCTCTTCATGATGCATTTGGAGGCCCGCCCAAATGTCTCTGGTCTCGATACCCGCCGTTCTCGTCTCGCACAGACTTGAGGTTCCGTTCCGTGCTCATCAATGGTGAAGGAAGTACCTCATTACCTACAAACAATACATACATACCTTGGTCTCTAAGTGGTCACGCAGGATACCCAGCCAGTTGAACCCAGCCCGCCAGTAACTGACTGAATGACTGACTGAGCCCAGCCCAGAACCAACCAGCCCAGCAGGCAGGCTCGGCTCCTCCCTCAGCGTGAGGTAGCATTGCTAGCGTTCCAAGGCTCGAGTGGGTACCCGCAAGTCTCTAACACTGCCATTGATCGCAGTGGCTGTACCCCAGCTGTACCAGGTAGTGTCGCAGACGCTACCTCGGTTGGCGAGTTCCATTCCCTCTTTTTTCATTGTTCCCCTCTGACTGACTTGGTCACTATTGTCAAAACTGCAAGTCATGATTGATTCATGAAACAGCTGATTATTAGAATTAAGACGAAGTTGTCAGTGATTGTCATTATAGGAACAATCAACTTACTCACATGCATAGGTACATGGAATTTACCTACCTATTCAGAACAAACAATAATCCACTTGCCATGTGCTCTGTTTTTTGTGCCAATGCTGTGCTGTGCCTGTCTTCGCCGCTCACACGCACTCCCTTTCTCTTCTCTCACCTGAATGGTGATTGTTCGTGACCGTTTACAGCCCGCCCGTACCTGTCCCGCAGCCCGCGCCGCCTACCTCCCAAACCAGCCAGACCATACCAGACCAAGGACTTGACCCTCTCTAGGGTATGTAGTAAGTGAGGAACCCGCCCAGCGAGTAGAGTGAGCGAAACGAAGCCAACCTACTACTGCTACCACTACTACCCAGGCGCACTTTACCTTGCGGCGCCGCTCCAGGCACCCCACTCCCCTTGTCCACCTACAATACACAATTGCCTTCCCACCTGTGCACCTACGCACACGCCCCCCCTCCCCCCTCCCCCGGTCCGGTCTGGATTGGGAACCTTGAACCACTTTCTCCAGGCTCCTTCGTCTTTTCCAGTCAAGACCCAACCGCTTCCTTCTCCCTCCCCTCAACCATTGTACACACTCTCGCCGGGTGTTCAGTATCGCGAACCGCCGCACCGCCTGACTCTGCCTCCCGCCAAACATCCACCTTTTCCCTTGTATCTATTATGGGAATTGCCACTTAAGAGCAAAGAGACAACAACAACCAGACAGAGCGAGCGAGAGCGTGTGTCCACACCCAATGGCAGTCTGTCCGTAATCCTAGGATCACCTGGAAACCAAAAGACTGATAGTCGACCAAACCCTCGCACCGCAAATTAGCCGATACCATACATTTCCATTCTTCATTTCTACATTCATTCGCCCTGTTTCTCATTGCCTTTTCTAGTTCTTCGGATACGTCAATCCCTCATTGGATCCTTTTCTTTAAAGCATAAGAACCAGGCGCTCATTTGCCCGCACCAAAACCTGTAGCATCGACATCACACCTGGACGTCGCCTACCGACCCTGTCGTGCGTGGAACCGGCTCTTTGGAGAGGAGGGACCAAGCGACTTTGAACACTGGTCGCATATTTCGAACAAGACTTGATTTTAGGGAAAGAGCGAGAAAAGAGAAAGAGCGAGAAAAGAGAAGGAGAGAGGGCAGCGAGAAAGAGACAAAACGAGAGGATTCAGCAGCGCTGTCCCCAATTCCAGGCTTTGACTGCCAACCAATACAACAAACCACAGAGTTTTGTGGTATCCTTTTCTTTACTTTTTACCGAACAACAATTCGACAACGAGGTTAGAGGAGCTGCGGACTGCCGAAATCACCAAATTCGTGATCCAAGCAGGCTATCCACGCACACGCCACAAACCTTGTTGTAATCGCCGAGGAAGATCAGAGAGGTCTAATTATTTAACATGCCGTCAGCAGCTGCCCGGCGACTGTATGAGGACCAAATACCCTCATTCATGTCCATTATAGATTCAGAGGTGGAACCCATGGTCGACGATTCTGGAGTGGTCACAATGGTAGATTCAAAGTTCATGGGCATGGAGCCCACATACCCGTCGCATTTCTCTGGGCCCAACCAGATGACCCAGCAACTACAACAGCAGCATTTGCACTCGTTACCAGCAGATGCGCTGCACCGACACCATGACAGCACCTCTACACAGAACTCTGCCGATTCATCGCCAACGACTACACTCACGACAGATACATCTTCATTGTCAGATCCTTCACCTTCATCGTCGCCCGATTCACCCGTCAACCTGATTCCGTTGAACAACTTCCCGGGCACTTCTTTTGGCGCATTGCCGTCAACAATGGATACGCTTAGGGTCAAGGACCAGCCACCTACAATCAACACGCACTTCCAGCGGCCCATGACTTCCCCTTCGCCGAGAAGACGTAACATGAAGGGTCTTTCTATCCAACCGCCATTTGCGTCAAACGCCTCCAACAGCAGCTTGGTTTCTGAGCCTTCTTCGCCGTCTTTCATCAAGCCTCAGATTCCCGCCATGAAGCGCAAACCGAGTCAACTGAGCCTGAAGACGGACGGTCCTGGACTCAGCCTGCGTGCCAGCAATGTTGAAGTGCCGCCATCGCCCGCCATGGGTCCCATCTTGCAGAGACGTGCCCTGAAGCACTCGACCTCATCACCGCACATGCTTTCTGCGATGAAGTCGGCCACCTTTGGACCAGCTGGTGGCATGTCATTCCCCACCATTTCAGACAGAGGAGAATCTGGCCTATCTGAGATACTTCGCCCTTCGAGACTGAACAGCACCAGCTCGGGTAACCAGCGAGCCTCAATCATCATGGAGGAAGACTCGCCCATCCGAACTCAGCAGGCCAGTTGTGCAGCCATGGATTTTGAGCCATTCCGCGACGAGAGCGAGGCCAATGAGGATCAAAAGTCTCCTGGCTATCCTGATGGCCCAATTGCCATCTATGGAGAGGAAGTCTACTTGTACTTGGAGCCGTCTGCGGACGAGGCGGCCAAATTTGATGTTGTCATCAATGTTGCTCGTGAGGTGTCCAACCCCTTTGATAGCAAGTTTGGCAGTCTTAGGGATTTCCCAAGAGGAAATGGTGCAGAGTCACCGATTCCGGATACTGCTGTCACATCTGACAGCTTCTCTACTGCTTTTGAGTACCCTACAACTGACCGCCAAGAGACCCCCACGACACCCAAAGCAACGAATGCTCTCCAAGAACCAGAGTATATCCACATGCCGTGGGACCACAACACCGATATTGCTACGGATCTCATGACGCTCTGCGAGACAATCGAGAAGCGAACGAAAGAGCGCAAAAAGGTCTTGGTACACTGCCAGCAGGGTGCCAGTCGATCTGCTAGTCTGATCATTGCTTACGGTATTTACCAAAACCCAGGCATGAGCGTCAACGACGCCTACTACGCCGCCCAGGCCAAGAGTAAATGGATCAGCCCCAACATGAAGCTCATGTACTGCCTGCAAGATTTCCAGAAGGAAATGGCCAAGCGGAAGGCGCCTCGGTCTGCTGTGGGAACCCGTACTGGACGCAGCCCGACCAAGCATCGGCTTACTCTATCTGCAGACGGCATTGATGTGAAGCCCAAGGAACCTCTGTCAGCTCCCCTACCGGATGAGAGCCCGAAGCAGGCAGAGATCAGAACCCCTGAACGAAGCCCTCAGCACCTGCGTGGCAAGTCAACACCCAATTTGGAGTCGATCTCTCCTGGACCCTCCTCCGCACCGTCAAGCTTCTCGTGGCCACAGAGAGAGGTCGAGATGGGCTCGGAATCTTTCGGTCGCTTCAAGTCTGATAAATTGCTTGACCCGCCCATGCTTATTGAACCAGAGTCTTCGAATGCTTTCCCACCTCCAGGCTCCTCGTTCTTTAAGCCGCCACCTTCGCCTGGTTTCAAGCCACCCAAGACTTCACTTGGCTTCACCCACCAGGAGCCAAAAGTGAGCTGGAAGAACGCACCGTCTCTTGGGCCGTCTCTGAGTTTCCAGCCTCCTCCCTCGCCCGGATTCTTCCCAACCCGCGAAGCATATCGGCCTCCCCCGTCTCCCGGATTCGGGCCTAGGCTGGAGCAGGGTGCCTCGTTCATGGGGTTCTCAAGCTTGAATCTAGGCAGCAGGGATCCAACTTTTGGGTCGTTCCCGTCTTTCCAAGACCACGTTCAGGAGTCTGTCAACCACACTGTTCACGTTACTCGGGAACTTCCGGAAGATGACGCTTTGATGTCACCCAGAGCCGAGACAATGACAAGTAACCCAATTCACGACTCCTTTGGCGAGATGGCAGGCATGAAGTTTGTTGAGCACCCGCCGACCCCGAATGAAGAACTCTTTTCGCCTAGGCAGTCGGTATTTCCTAGGGATCCATTGCAGCCATTTGGCCGGCCAACTCAGGTCGCCGATCCGAGAAGTCCGCCGACAAAAGGCGAGACACCCATTGTTAGATCCATCGATGAGCTGCTATAAGCTATCGGCAAGATCATAACATCCACGAACATACGACGTCTATGAAATCTTACGACGCCCACACTCCAAGAGTGCGGCATTGTATCTTCACTATCTACCATTTGATCTGGCATATGCTTTGCTGGACAGTTGTGGCACACTAGACGTTTCTCTGTTTGACGTGATTGGAAAGAAACCTTTTCAGGATTTCACCAAACATGAGTACGTCTATCTTTAGTGCGATTCCATCATGGTCCCTTGTACAAGGACAGTTCATAGGAGAACCGATCATGAGGATTAGCAAATATTCTTTTTGTCATCTCTACAACGAAATACAATCGTTATAATATTTCCTTGCATTCACCTTTCCGCATAGCGCAGCACGGCGAAACCGGCATTAACATCCGGAACTGGACTGGCTCTGAGTGTTTTCCTCGATACACTGCGCACGGCACTACCATTGCACGATACATTCACAAAAGGGACATTTGTTTTTCAAGGAAAGGAAGGGTCTGATGCTTTTTTTCTGTCACCTCATCAGGAGACTCAAATGTGTAATCTATGACACGAAAAGGAGCTACGGCCGAAGGAGTTGAAATGACTTTGAGGGAGGGAGGAGTTGATTAGGGTGGTTTTCACGTTCTGGCGTTGAATAACGAATGCTTGAACGAAGCAAAACCCCAATGTAAAACCCGACATCTCTTTTGCAGAGTCGAGGCTCAGGGAAACGTAAAGGGATGAGAGATACTCGAGGTTGCAAATGTACATAATACAGGGAGATAGGTAAAGGAGAAACATGAAAAAGCGGCCGTATCATGCGGCACGCTAATCAACATATAACTATAGTGTCTTTGGTGCTTGCTCTGAATATTTGTGATTTGATTCTTGAGATTGATATCATGTTTCTACTGTTAAAAGTATCTGTCCTTGTGATGCTTCCATGGTCTTGAAGAATTATGAGGATATCATTCGATCTAAGAAACAATACAGGTCTATATATACAGTACTCCTCGACTATGTACAGGATGGTCCAACAACACTTTTTTACTTTTAACGACTTGACCGGCCCCCGCTCGTATTCTAGTCTATTTACCCAAGGACGTGTTTAATCTCACAAAGGGGTAAAGAAAACATCTCGTCTTGAGGACTTTATTGACTCTTGCCCTCGAGCGCCTTCTTCTTGGCCGCGTCCTTGGCCATCTTCTCCTGGCGAGCAATGGCGGCCTCGACGCCAATGCCGCCAAAGACGAGGCCGACGCCTAGGACCTGCATCTGGCTGAGCTTGTGGCCAAACGCCACGACGGACAGAATCATGGTGAACATTTTGCGCGTGACTGTTACCGTCACGAGGAGGACAGAGGAAAAGGTTGAGAGGGTGTAGACTAGAGTTTTGGGAAAATAATGGAATTAGTACTCTGCAATGCAATGGGGAAAGGGAAAGGGGGAAAGATGAATCTACTCACAGATAAAGACTTGTCCCACGGCGCCAAAGGCCGCGAAACCCAAGACATCGGTCCAGACGGAAGGGTGACGGGCCATGAAAGCCAGAGCCTCGGTCAGCTCGCCCGCCGAGCCGGCCACGTCCATGCCGAGCCACTCGCCGGCGCCCGTGTGCACGAGGTAGGGGCTCAGCACCAGGTAGGCGGCCGTGACGGCGGTGCTCATGAGGTTGTTGGCGCACATCATCTGGGGGCCCGAGTAGGGTTGAAAGGCGCCAAAGATGTAGTCCTGGGTGCTGTTGGTCAAGCCGTCAAAGAGCAGGTTGATGGAGAGCAGGAGCATGCCCCAGGGCACGTTGCGCTCCTCGTCGGGGGTGGCGTGCTTCTTCGCCTTCTTGCCAGAGTGCAGCGTAAAGACGGCGACGCCCGCCGTCACGGCCGCCACGACCAGGTACTTGTACAGCGGGTAGCGCTTGCGGAAAATGGTGATGTGCAAAAACATGACGGGTAGCAGCTTGCACGACTTGGCCAGCAGAAACGTTATGTAGTCGATATGCGCCAGGCTGGCGTAGCCAAAGGGCGACGCGAGCGACTGTGTCAGGGCCACGAGCACGAGAGGCGCCAGGATGCGCCGCGACGGGAAAATGGGCGGGATCGGCGCGTTGCGCGGCGAGCTGAGGTACAAGTAGAGGGCACCCGTGGTGGCCGCAAAGAGGGACTGGATCGTGTTGAGGAAGACGGGATACTTGAACACCTCGGTGCTGCCTTCGGGGCCGTGGGGTGTCGTCGTGAGGCGCTCTTGGAGAAAGGCCCAGGTCAAGCTGTGCGGCAAGCAACAAGTCAGTATGTGTGATTGGAATCGTGAGATCGTCGCCAGTCCGGGTCATATCGCAACGTACAAGGAGCCGTAGATGCCTGCAACGGCAATGACCAGCTGTACCAAGCCAGCTTCCTTCTTCTCCGGCTCGGGCAGCATGATGGCGCTCTTGCCGGCGAGCGCAACGCCGTTGGCCGGAGTCTCTTTGGGTATTACATAGCTGCTTGTCCTCTTGACTGGTGTGCCATTCTGCTTTGACACAAACTCGGAGGAAGGCGTGCGCTCGACAGGCTTGGCCTGCTTCGTTCTCGCCATTGCGCCGCTTGGGGGGTTTGGGAAATGCTTCGTTCTGTGCACGCCTCGACTATTTCGTATTTGACTGGCGAAAGACGAGTGCTACTTGGATTGGAGAACGTCGAGTCCGAACAGAGAGGGAAAGAGTCCGAGGGAGAAAAACGAATGAAGTGAATATACCAAAGGAGCGTTAGAAGAAGAAATGCGAAATGACTAGACACAATACTTGTGGTTAGAGAAAAGACAGTTTGTCAATTGGCGCCCCCTAGACTAGGTAAGCAACTGAGTTACTTGCGCCGACGCCAGAAACGGGACCCTTGAAACAATAAGCTTCCGCCGATGATGACAGATTGGCGATTGGCCGCATGGCAGAATATTACCACGCCTTTTCCCCCTCCCGAATGCCCATTAAGGCAAGCACTAAAACTAGGCGGTGACAAGGGAGCGGATGGATATGCGACCCCACTATGATCGAGTCCATGGAATACCTAGCCAAGCACGCGAGTATCATACATACTACAGTACCACAGTTCTAGTACTTTGCAGTCGAATTCAATGCTTATGGAGGGCACGGCAAATGCGTTTCTGATGAATCATCTGAAGCCACTGGCATGGCTTTACTTGCTTCGATGCACTATTCATTCTCCCAGTTCTAATTCAACTAGGCTAACTGACTGCCCATAGGCCCTCGAATGTTCTCAATGTGAGCCGAGAACTCGGGTGTGCCTGTAAAACTCACTGCCGACGCTTGTCCAGCTACAACAAAATACACAACTTCCATTCAGCTTTGGCAATAGTCTTGACAGTGCAGACGCTAGAGCAGAATTGAGATCAAAAATAGTTGCATGGCACAACTTCGAATAATGAGGTCGTTTGGATGGGCAGAGGCAGTAGTACAATGCAGGCCAGCAATTGTCGTCCTACCCTGGCAGCTTATCGCAAACCGAGTATGACAAGAGAGAAGGCTGGACCAAGGTGTCGTCGAGAGGCGCGTGATTAATGTCGATAGGAAAATATGTGGGGGGGCTGAGAGATGGATTGTTGCGCAGGAAAGGCGCACAAACGAGATTGGGTCGTTTCTCGTCCAGATTAGTACACTGTGAGAGCGAGTTGTTGTCATTCTTGACGATCAGGCAGTCGATGTATGTGCATCCTTCCTGGCAATACCAGGCCAAGCGGATGTCGCCTTCGATACACAAGGTATCGTCGTGAGAACTTGTCCGTCATGATTGGAGGGGAATTGATGGTGGTGATTAAGAAAAGTTGGCTCGTTGTTATTTTGAGTAGTGAGTAGTGAGAGGAAGAAGAGAAGCCACCAAGGGCTACTGCTGAAAGAGAAGAAAGAGTTCAATAGTCATAACGTCATGTCATTCGAGACCCCACCCGAGGTCGTTGAGCCTTGCGGCAGGTTCAGATCTGGAGTTTCGACGCCAAATCCGACAACATTAGGAAATATTCCTGACAGATGTACCAAAATCTACCCTGGCAGCGCCGCAAGGGCGATTCAGGCCAAAATAATACCCTGGTTTACTCTGCTGGTTGGTTCTGGCTGCGGCGCATCTTTTCAGCCTCGAGGTTCTCGTACAGGAGAAACAAGGCTGTCTCGTTTGCCTTGGCAGAGCCCATAATGGTGAACATGCGCTCACCCGTTTCGTCATGAGGAGCCTATTATGAAATACGGATTAGTCGTCTATTTACTGCTTGAAAGCTTCATTGGGGAGAGCATTATACCTTGGCAATGGAGATGCGGGCACCCGAAGTCTTGCGAATCTCCGTGATCTTGCTTCCGGCGCGGCCAATGATACATCCCACCATGTCAGCAGGGATGCTAATGTTTTGGGTCTGAATCTCTTCGCCGTTCTCGTCGTGGGTCGGAGGGCCTTGGCGGTCTCGATTGCCCGCATCCGAGTCAGAGCGGCGGTAAGGTCGCGAAGAACCGCCATTGCTAAAGTCGGCGCCATTGCCGGTGCGTGTCACACGAGAGCTTCCATAGTCACCTCTGGAATACCCGTATCCTCCTCCTACCCCGCCCCCAGCACCAGCGGCAGAGCCAGTACCGGCAGAGACAGGACCGCCACCAAGAGACCCCGCACCGCCAGGTTGTGTGCGAACAACAGGATTGTACAGCACTGTGCCGGTGCCTCGCTGCCAATCATCCACAAGGCATTTTGAGATTTCCCACACGGCGCGCTGGATGCCTTCGGGTGTGCCTTGAACCTCGACGATGCGCTCGGTGGACTGGGGTAGCATTTCCTTTTGCGCGACCATGCGCACACCAGACGAGTCCTGGATGTGCTTGATCTTGAGGCCCTGGCGACCGATGATTGTGCCCATCTGGTTGTGCGAAATCAGGAGCTTGATAGCTATATTGGACGTATTAGAAGCAGCGCTTGCACAAAGAAGGTTCAAGTATAAAATCAGGCCAAAGATAAAATCAAAAGAGGAGTATGCCTACGGTGTGTGCCATTGTTTTGGACGACTCCGCCCATGCCCACGGCGGGCGCGCCTTCGAGTAGAGCTTTGGCGACAATTGCGTAAGCCCTCGAGATGGCGTCGCAACCTCCAGTGATGGTAAGGACGCGATCGTGTACACCTTGGACGACCTTGCTGACGCCGGCTTTAACACCTGTCTCATCGCGCAAGTCTGCGACGTTCTTGCCACCCTTGCCAATAATGACGCCGGCCTCCTTTGAAGAGACGATAGCTCGGAGGGTCAGGTTGGCGACAGCGTATTCATCGTCCGTCTTTGGAGCAGGCTGACCGTCAGGACCAAGACCAGATTCGTCGTCCAGTCTTAGGTTCGCGACAGCTGGGTCGAGGTCATTATCGACAATCGATGATGCGATATCCTGGGTTGCGGACATGGTGGGCAAGCAGGTAGGTGGGTGGGCAGGTGGGTGGGTTTAGTGGAACGCGCGGAATTGAGCGAGGGTACGAGGAGGTTGGATTCTTTCAGAAGAGTGCCGGATTCGACAGGGAGGAGAGTAGTAGTAGAAGAAGAAGAAGAGGAAGGGAGAGGGAAGAGGGTTGTTTGGATGTTTCCGGTCGCCTTCAATTCATGGAATGTCTGAACGATGCAGTTGGATCGCGGGGTGGAGGATGGAGGGAGGTGTGGATGTTAGGCGGGGGCGCGAAGATGGTGGTAGTAGTAGTTGAGTTGAGTACGTAGCAGTCGATAGCAGCAGCAACAGCAGCAGTAGCAGCAGCAGTCGCAGTCGCAGTTACTGTGGGTTTTACTTGGGGGTGGATTCAAATGGGAGGAGCAGCGCGAAGGCGGGTGTAAGAGGTAAGTAATGTGGGCGGATTTTGGAGGCGGGACGGTTTTGGGGCCCTCCAAACTACTACGTACTCACTGACTGCCCAATTGACTCGACTGCATGGAGGGGAAAGAACAACGGGAGTGGCGGTTTGAGAACTGTCATTTTTCTCGGGGGGAAACATCGATTCGAAGTTTGCCCAGCCTCTCTCTTCTTCCCCTTCTGCCTACATATTGAATGATGAATTTGACAGGCACAGAATACGCCAGCACCCATATTGATGACCTACATCTGCAGCTATTCAATGGCCCGTTCCTCAACTCACCACTCTTTATAGAAACAGATCTGACGGATGGTCACAAACACATTTGCGATTCTTGTTCTTCCTCCCTGCGCTTTTGCTTGAGTTTACACTTACCTATACATCTTGGAGGCCAAGATTGCCGATGAACGTTTCAAGGTGCATATAAACTGCCGAATGCACATTGTATTTTGCAGCCCTGTAATTCTATAAACTCTTTATACTAACACCACTATATTGTATTCTTGCCTGCCTAGTAACTCCAAAATAGAATTAACAACGCCTTGAAGGCAGACCAAGTCCCAAGTCAGCCTTTCTGTTTGTTCGCGGCCGTAGGCCTAGCGATTAAACCCCACCAAGTGTTTCGCATAGAAGAGCCTTCAAGAGAATATTTGTGACCAAAATAATTGAAGTTTCTACTGTGCTGTGCCTCACGCGCCACTTGAATGCCGCGTCTGGGCGTGCACTGACAATCCATGGAACACCTATGCTATGAGCTACGCGTTTAACATGGCTTACTGCCACTAGCTACTTCGTGCTAACGTGGATTCAAGTTTAATACATACCAACCTCAAGAAGCACTCCAAGATTTCACTTACTTTTGCTAAACGAAATGATGACCTCGATGCGCAGGAGGGAAACATTTCGATAAATATTGGGTGCCGTTCATCTATTTCGTTCATCTCTTGTCCGCGCTTTGGGCCTTTAGATTGGGTCGCACAAGAGTGCCTCCTACTGAATCATTATCCGCATCGCATCTGCAAGAAGGGATTCCCAGCCACGGGCCCACGAGGTAATAAGTGGGACTACACTGTCAATCAGCGTCACCTTTCCCAGCCAAGAAGGCCGTTGTGGGGGCCGAGCGAGCTGGGCAGGAGCTGGAAATCAATGTCCTTCTTAGACCCCAAGGAATTTTCTTGTACGAGTATCTAGTTCCTAGAGAAAGGAGAAAATTTAGGAGAGACATACACACCTGTATTATCACACTACATATGAAAAGCTTTTATTCCCGCATAAGCCAAGTGTTGTGAATAGAATTGCCCTGAAAAGTTGGAACATTCGCTCGGAGCTGGCATGCAAGCTAGGTAGGTCGGTACCTGGAGCACGGTTAACATTGCATAAGAGCTCGTGTGGGCCCCCTAGTGGAGCTCCCTAGTCTCTCTCTCATTCTCTCCGTCCGTTTTCAGCCTCTTGACTGGGCTATTCATCAGTGGCCTCGCCCCCAGCCTTTCGATTATTTACCACAGGTGATACAGAGTGCCATCCATTGCCAGAAGATTTCTTCTCCCCGGAGCCCCATGGAGTAATAGAAACAAAATGGCTGACCAGAGACGCGTGTTACTGACTGCATGCTTGTTCCAATGAGCACCAACCAATGTTCGTGATGAATGTTTGTGCTTTGTTGGTACGAAAATGTACTGAGCCGCATCTGGAATATAACCCACACAGTCTAAATCCTCCGTGAATGTCTCATCCGGTTCAAAAATAGATTACTTTGTTTTTTTTTTTTTTTTTTTTATTTTTTAACTTCTATTTAGTTTAACTTGTTGTCTGTG